GGCTGGGGTGCCCCCCAGCTCTTAGCTCCCCCCTGGGTTTCCGATCACTATCAGTTGCAGGGGGCTTCTTCCTGCTTTCCCTTTCCCCTCTCTGCATTGTGCCTACATATGCAAATTAACCGCCATCTTTGTTGGCAGTTAACCGCCATCTTAGTTGGCAGTTAATTTGCATATCACCCTGATTAGCCAATGAAAAGGGTAGCGGTCATACGCCAATTACCATATTTCTCTTTTATTAGTGTAGATGAACATAATGATGGTGGCTTTAAGATGTATTTGTTAGCTGGATAGCAGAAGTTGAGTTTTCTTCTTGGGCTATTTCCCTGTATGTTCAATACACCTTGCCTGTTTCCCAACTATCAAGCTTCTCTGTAAACTCGACACTGCTTTTCCTTCTGGATGCAGTGTCCAGTACAGAGTAATGGGTGAAATTGTTTTCGCAGGTCTTTCAACTGGTGATAAACCATATCACATCACTTCAAATATCACAATTCTAACACATTTAACTTTTCTAAAATCATGATGCATCTTTCTAGCTAAGTATATACTTGGATGCAGTTTTTGTCTTTTCTTCCTTTCTCTTAAAGAGATGTTATTAATTTAGTGGTTTGACTTTTTTACTTCAATCAAAGGTAATTCAGGATCGAAGTTCAACATCACTTGTTGATCTGCAGTGCGCATCTCAGCACTCTGCACACTTTGTGCTGCCTGCTTAGGATCCAGAGATCCAGGAATACATTCCTACCATTTGTTACACTCCTACCAGCCAGCATATTCCACATACTCATGACTTTGGCTTTTTTGCTTTGACCACATCCTCATGTTGCTCTTTGCCATTCTAGGTTTTCAAGATTTCAACTAATTTGATACATTATTCTTGCTGATGTGTTAGTGATCATATCCCACCTCTGGCAAGTTATATATTGTGCACATTTTAACTGGAACCTGTTATCTAATATACTAGTTATCTTAATGGAAATAACTTAACCAGATAAGAAAGTATGAAGTTCTTGCCCAGCCAGTGTTGCTCAGTGGTTGAGCATAGACCTATGAACCAAGAGTTCATCAGATTCCCCATCAGGACACAAGCCCGGATTATAGGTGTGCAGGGGGCAGAAGAGGAATCTTATTTTTATGTGGTTCTTCTAGTTGCCAGGAATGCTACATATCTCAATGGTTCTCTCTCATCGATGTTTCTATCTATCTGTCCCCCTCACTTCCTCTCTCTCTCTCAAATAAAAATAAAAACGTATTTTTTTTTCAAAAAGAAAGAATTAAGTTCTTGTTGGGCCAATGAGTCCTATAAGCTTTCTATTACCCTTTAAATTATACTGGCTAGATTTTGAATTTTGACTTTATTTGGTTTGAAATTTCAAAAGAAAAGTATAATTTAAAATGAAAAAAAATTTTTTTAATTATAGTTAATTTCTGTGAAAATAGTACCGATGGGAGTTTTACATTTGGCAAAATTGCAGTGGGAAGATATGGACCTTCCAGGGAAACATGTGGCAAGGACACTCTAAATGGTATGTGTTTTTTTAAACATCTTCCTTGTTTAGGCATACAAATCACTATACTGGGTTATACCTATCATCCCTCCAACTAGTATTAGGTTCCTGGAAGAGGCATCAAGGAAGGCTTTGTAGAAGGTCTGGTTCCCTTTTATGATACCAATGTTCAAAGTTTAGGGTGTTACCTCACATAATCCTAATTTTCCTGAAAACCTTACTATGGAACAGCTGTACTTCTTCAATTGGTTTATTTTTCCAGCTTATTCTGTCTCCTGGAGTTTGATCAGGTTCACATCTGCTTCCTAGGTTATATAATTTGTCTCAATGTAAACAATTAGCTAAACTATTGACTTACACCATATCTGTGAAGGGACACATACAGGAGCATGTAGTTGCTGTGGCCATCTTTGCAAACACTCTTTTTCTTTTTGTTAAAGCGGACATGCCAAGAGCAACCCGGCTATGCAATGTCACTGAAGATGGAGAGATAGAATTACAAAATGCGACAGTAGGAAATTGCAATATAAATCTGGACATCCTGGAAGACCAGGTATGCTCTATGGCCCATGTGATAGGCAACCGGAAAGAAACTTGATGGTCAAATCAATGCTTTTTAAAACTTTCAAATTAGAAATAACAAAAACTAGTAAATAAACCTTTGTTGTTGTTATTAATCCTCACCTGAGGATAATTTTTTCATTGACTTTTATTTTTTATTATTATTTTAAAAATATATTTTATTGATTTTTTACAGAGAGGAAGGGAGAGGGATAGAGAATTAGAAACATCGATAAGAGAGAAACATCGATCAGCTGCCTCTTGCACACCTCCCTACTGGGTATGTGCCCGCAACCAAGGTACATGCCCTTGACCGGAATCGAACCTGGGACCCTTGAGTCCGCAGGATAGAGCCCGCACTGAGCCAAACCAGTTAGGGCTCATTGATTTTTAGAGAGAGTAGAAGGGAGGGAGAGGGAAAGGAAGAGAGAGAGAGAGAGGGAGGGAGAGAGAGAGAGGTTGATGTGAGAGAGATACATCCTCTGGTTGCCCCCCACACTCGCCCCACCAGCGCTGGGAATGAACCTGCAACCAGGAATGTGCCCTTGACTAGAAATTGAATCCCTTCAGTGTGCTGGCCGGTGCTCTAACCACTGAACAACACCAGACAGGGCTAAAGCCTTTATTTTTTTAAGTTGACATCTATTTGTAAAAAAGACTAGCTGAACATGTTGGTTCTGCAAATTTCAGCAAATGAAAATCTATAGCACATTTACTAATGGCCTCATCATTTTTAAGCCAGTGCATTTTGACCAAAATAGATCTGACATTTGAGACCAAAAACGAAGGTATTTTGCCTGGCCAGTGTTGCTCAGTGGTTAAGCATTGACCCATGAACCAGGTCAGGGCACATGCCCAGGTTTTGGGTTTGATCTCCAGGAGAGGGCATGCAGGAGGCAGCTGATCAATGATTCTCTCTCATCATTGATGCTTCTCTCTCTTTCTCCCTTTCTCTGAAATAAATAAAAACATATTTTTTAAAAAGGAAGGTATTTTAGGGGTCTACTGGACCAGAACACTGAGGCAAAACTAAGGCCTTTTGAGACAGGAAACTCCAGAACCTGATGAGTCTCAGGGCTATATCCATGAGCAGGTGGAATGGGAAGTATATCTAAGTAAATACTTTTCATGCAAATTAAATTATTTTGACTAAGGAGATACCCAAATGCAAATGCATGAAATTACTAACACCTGAGGCCAAACAAGGGACAAAAGAGGAAACTTATCTTTATGTGGTTCTTCTAGGTGCTGGACATGCTACATATTATCTCATTTAGTTTTTATAGAACCTCTGAGAGCTAGGTGTTATTCCCATATTATAGATAACTAGAGGCCCATTGCAGGAAGATTCCTGCAAGAATAGGGCTTCCTGCGGCTGGAGCGAAGCAGAGAAGGGAGTGAAGCCCGCCCTTCTCCGCTGCCTCGGCTCTGCTCCCGTGTCCGCTGCCTGGGGATACCCCATCGGCAGTGGAGCGGCGAGGCTGGATCAGCTGCCGGAGTGGGCAGATTGTGCCTCGCTGCTCACCTCTGTGGCCCCCGGCCAGGTGACAGGTGATGGAGTGCCCCCCACTGCCTCCCCCGCCACCTGCCTGGCCAGCAGGCTTGGACACTTCAGCAGCAGGGCTGAGGGGACTGGGCGCTGCCATCTTTGTGACGGAGCGACAGCTAATTTGCCTATTACTCTTTTATTAGATAGGCTTATAGCTAATAACACTTACTTATTATTGAGCATTGACTGCATGCTAAGTGCTGTGCTGAACATTTTACATATGCTGTTTTATCATAGTTAATTCCTGTAACACCCCAATAGATACGTATGAATGTACTCTTTTTATAGATGAGAAAACTGTGCTTCTGAGAAGTGCAGTATTTTGCCTGATGAGTCACAGCCAAAAGTGATGGTGCTGCTTTTTATTTTAAAGTCCACACTGGACCATATCATACATGGGCAGGGGTGGAGGTGGGAGTAGGAGTGGTAGGAGGATGTGGAGGTGGTGCCAACCACATAGGTTGTGCCAGCCACATAGATTGTGGGAATGACTTCATGCTCAGGAATCTGACAAAACAGTGTCTGACTATTAGCTCTGCCACTTCTAAGCTGCATGAACTTTGGGTGAGCTCCTTACCCTCTCCAAGGCTTTAAATAGGGATGAGAATGCTCAACTCAGTGTTGTTTTGCGGATTAAATGTAGTAATACCTGTAAAACATTTAGCAGTGCCTAGATCGCAGCAGGGACCTGGATATGGAACGAGAGCATTGTT